ATGCTCCCTCCATTCCGATCATAATCTAAGGATAAAGCCACCGGAGATTCTCTCTCTGTCAATGAATATATCAATCCTGCACTAAATCTAAAAAGAAAACGAGGGGGGGAAAAAAAGAGGACATCTCCCCTCCTTGTCAAAACTGTATCCTTGTGTATGGTACCACAGATTACAAAACTTATTTCAGGAAAGATTTGCTTTTCTTCCTCTCTATTTTTTTATGAGGATATTGAGGCAAATCTTTTGTTTATTAAAAAAGAGCTGGAGTAATGCGCATTAAAGGATCATCTGAACCCCCGCATTCCAGAAAGTATTCAATAATCTTAAAAAGTTTCCTTCTGGGCAATGCTGCATTGCTTAAATTGATACATAATATGCAAAAGAATGTACATATATACACAAACAGTAGGACAGCCCCTCTCCTACTTCCACTTTTCCCAGCCGTATATCATGGAGAAGGTTTAAAAACATCCTCTCCCATCCTCGTACATATCAAGAGGATTTTTCCTCGTCATTTTAATCAGCAGAGCTCATAAAACACTCTGATAATCACACAAGCAAATATAAGTATAGCCCCAGTTTTCCTCCCTCTATAAATCACACATCAAGTGCAGCAGCTGGTGCTATTGATGTAGATCCTTGAGACCTTGATTCAGCAATCTTTGCAGCCACTTCAGCCACAATAAGTCTCGTCAATAGCAAACCTGCAACTAAAGCTGCAGCCATTAACATTGTAAAAACTGCACTCCAGCTCTTAGAAGAAATGTAACCTGTTAACAAAGGTCCAATTGCAGCTCCGACCGAGCCTGTTCCATCTATGATTGCCGTAACAGTGGCCAATGCCCTTGAGTTCCCCTTCAAGGAACTGTGAGTTCCCAAGTCAGCCGAGACAGCCGTTGTTATAAGAGCATAAGGGCCGTTCACAAACATGCCAGTAATGAACATAAGAGCAATGTTTAAACCCAAGGAAAGGTGTCCATAGCTCCTGTAGAAAAAGAGAGCAGGGATGGCACAGTACATGAAGCTTGCTGCTGTAATTGCTCTGGCATCTAGGCGATCAGAAATGTGACCAGCTAAAATTCCCCCAACCACCCCTCCAACATCAAAAAACGTTGACAAGTTTCCACAAGTTCCATCGGATAAGTACTTTCCGTCAATGGCTGAAAGGTTGATGAGAATAAATAAGTCCACATCATGGATATTATTATGAAAAAAAAAAGTAGCAAAAGAACACATTTCACCAGTTACAAAATGACAAACACCTATGTTTTATATCTAAATTTATAAACGAGTATACAGTAAGTGAGTCCTCACATTTCTATTGATGTTAAAGAGTTTCAACCAATCATAGAAGACTCATGAAACCAAAGAATCTCATTTTCTCCCTTCACTTTATAAGCACATTAAAGAATGCTACGCAAATTCAGGTCAATCCCAAAAATGAAAAAGCTAAGAAGCCCAAATTACCTGTCTGGCTAATGTAGAAAGGAAGCCAGTAGAGAAAAGTATAGGCCACCAGTTTGGAGAAAAATAGGCAAAGAGCAAATGGAGCAACTCCAGGTATTTTCCACGCTTCAATGAACCCCACAGCTTCCTGTTTAACATCAGGGTCCGACGCCAAAAGAGGCTCTGTAACTCCCTCCCCAGCTTTATCTGGAGAATCCAATTCATCTTCATCTTTATTAGCTCCAACAGCTTCGGGACTAACAGGCAGTAACAAAAACACAAGCAGGCCAGCAAAAGCAATAACGAGACCAGGCACAACAAAAGACCAGCCCCACCCATAGCTCAACATCGCAGCGGCAATCAAAGAGCCTGAAATATTCCCAACAGAAGTGTGGGCATTCCATATACCCATAATTAGCCCTCTCTTCCTCTTCCCAAACCAATTACCAACCACCGCAACCACCGAAGGCCATCCAGTTGATTGGAACAGGCCAGCAAGCATTTGCACTATCAAGTAGTAGTAAAAGTTGTGCACATTTGCCCAAAATCCAACGCCAAATAATGACGTAAATATACCAGTTCCAACCATTCCTATAGTCAAAAAGATCCTTAAATTCATCCTATCACCTAGGTGCCCTGAAAAGAACATTCCTATGGCATATATAGCAAGGAAAGCCAAGTCTAGTTCACCAAGCAAGGCTGTTCCGTCTGAGGCATCAAATGGAGCCCAACCTTCTCCAAGTTTCCACGAAAATCTTTTTCTTTCAACTGGTTCATTTGAGTAAGTAATCCTCCAAGGGACAAACTTTAACCCCACCTCAGATGGGTCAAGGGTGCTCTTGACAATGCTCGTGGTTTTTCGAGCAGCATGGTAGCTCGCGTATGCCAAAAATGTAACGATCAAGACAATGGCTTGGTGGGTTCCGTAGGAAAGCCTTCTCTTCTTTACCCATTCTAAGAATCGAATACCAATAGGGGGCTTATTTTGGTTTCTTTCGACTGGATCCAGAGACGGACTCATGTATAGGTTCTTACCTCTTCAAGGAATGAAGGGGGAATATGGATTCAACTTCCTCTTTTAGAACAAAAGCAGCACGCTGCAAAACAGATAAAAAAAAAAAAAAAAAAAAGGTTTCACATGAGTTTACAATGATAACTTAGTAACAGACTAAAAGCAGCAGGAGTTGAGAAAACTTTTGATAGCAAGGAGAAAGTTTTCGAATGAATCTGTATCCATGTCTACAAGTTTCCACCGATCTTCACTTTAAAGACTGGAACTCTTCTTTTACAGAAGTTCCAAGTGACTCTTTAGAGATTCATTAAAACACATAAACATGAGCACCTAATAAACGACTCTAGATTCTCTCTAAATTAATTTCTAACACGCCTTCCAGCCCTCAGCATTATACAAAATTATACTTGTATACTCTATCTAGCTCTATGAAAGGATTTCTTCAGTTTACTACCAGCTCAACATCACGCACAGCAAATCAAACTAAGGAACTCAATTGACACAAACTAGCAACTTTTCGCAGTCGTACAAGACTGATTAATTTTTAAGAAAATCCTCAACTTTGCATCGATTTAGCAGAGGAGTTCAATTATATAAAACTAAAAACTCTCAAATTCTGTTAATTACAAATTGAAAAAAAAAAGGATTAAAAACCCCTCAAACGCTCTAAGAGCTAATTATATCTCAAGTTTCCAAGCGTGTCCAAAAACCATTTTTAAATTCTGGTCAAATAGAGCCCGTCTTGAAGGAGACAACATCAAGAAATCTTCAAACTAGAAAAGGCTTCCTCTCAAAAAAAAATTTCAAACTTCAGTTTTGCATGCGCTAGACTTTATAGTCTATCAATCCAATAGATTTTTATCAAAATAAATCAAGATAAAAAGTCAACAGTCGATTGAAAAAAAAAGAGAGAAACACGGGAGAAAGAACTCGAAACAAAAAAGAAGGAACTTCTCAACAATCAGAGATAAACCCAAGATTTCTTGGGCAATAAAATTTACATTTCAACAAAAACCCATTTCTCAAAATCAACTTCTGAAGACTCTGTCCAGACCACAAACAAACCACCACGGAAATCAAAAGCCAAAATTTCAAAATCAAGAATATGGAAACGAACATTAATCTAAACAATGAACAGAAATCATTAAATACGGAAACTGAAGAGTAACAGCATACCCTGTTTTAGGGTAACAGAGCTCACAGGAGATTGTTTGCTCTCTCCTTCTCTCTCCAGAAAACTATCAATCTCTCTCTAAAAAGTGAAACTATATATCAAACTCTCTCTCTCTCTCTCTCTCTCTGCTTCCATTTTCTTTTCTTTGTTTCTATTTCTCAAGGGAAAAAACGCCGCGCGCTTGTTGTTGCTGCCTACGACGGGTGTCCTCTTAATGCTGGCGTTAATTAATATTTTAATCGTGTTTTCAAATGTCCATCCTGTCCTTTGCTTAATTTCGCCACAAGTTGTTTTGCTTTTATTTTATATTACGCAACTTGACGAAAATGCCCTTGACCGACCTGCATCATGATTGAGAAAAATGGTTTTTTTTTGTTATTTTTCAGCTTTTCCACGTGGGCAGTTCTTTTTGGAAACGCCGCCTTACACTACCTATTGTTTTTTAAAAAAAACCACTCTTTCTGATATTTTTATATTCGGTTGAGTTTCAGCTTTTTCAAAAGCTCTCGCTTCTCGAGTTTCTCAGAGCCATTCAAAAGAACAAGTCCAAGATCCAAAAACAAAGAATGCCTTAAACTCATGATTTTACTTCGACTTTGAGCTCTTTGTGATGGCCCACTCTCTCGACTCTCGAGTGTCCTATAACGACATCGCTGCTGTCGAAGCCCAAACACTTGTTCGGTCCTAAATCCACACAGACACAGCTAGCTAAGATGCTTCAGACTTGAGAGAACTGATGACTTGTACGCAATGGCAACCACCAAAAATATTGCCATTCAAAGAGAAATGTGTTTCCCTGAGACCATCACGAGTCCAATGGATTGCGTATTAATAATTTCTGCGGCAGGGTTGTTGTTTTAAAATTTTTTGATTTTTTTTCTTAAAATTAACCCTTTTAATTTTTTAAATTATTTTGATGTGATCTCAAAGATAAATCTGAAAAAAATTTAAATTTTTTTTTAAAATTCTTACCGTAACATAAAAATATGATAGAAAAAGTCTAGTAGTGTGTGCCCTCTGTTAGATATTAAGATTTTAACTTTAGAATTTGGTTCACCAGTCTTTGTACTGGGTCGTTAATAATTCCTATTTAATAGGATCATTTAGCTTGAGTTTGTTTTAGTCAATCAACTGCTTACCTGCTTCCCACGTTATAGGAGTAGTGGATACGTGAGCTGCTGATATTCAGTTTGTTTCTATTATTGTTTATAAGGCTATTTATAGCCAATTCTCTCTTTATGAATTAAGCAAAAATACTATAGTTGTTTCTTCAATTTTGTGAGATCAACATTTGGTATCAGAGCTTCACAGGTTATTTGATTGAATTGTGTGAAGCAGCAGCTCTTTGCACGAGTGACAAGAGAAGAGATGTCGATGGAAACAAATTTTGTCCAACCATCAATTCCAAAGTTTGATGAATATTATGATCATTGGTCCATGCTGATGGAAATTTTTTTACGATTGAAAGAATACTGGACTTTAATGGAACAAGAAGTGCCTGTAAAAACAGAAGGAGCATCCCTAACAGACGCTCAGATGAAGACCATTGATGATCAGCGACTGAAGGATCTGAAAGCTAAGAACTATTTGTTCCAAGCTATAGATCGATCTCTCCTGGAAACTATTCTCAAGAAAGACACAGCTAAGGATATATGGGACTCATTAAAGCAAAAGTATCAAGGCAAGGCTAGAGTTAAGCGTGCACAGTTACAAGCGCTTCGAAAGGAATGGGAAATGTTACAGATGAAGGCTGGTGAATCTGTAAATGAGTATTTTGCTCGAACATTGACAATAACCAACAAGAAACGAATTCATGGTGAGAAGATGGATGATGTTGCTGTCATTGAAAAGATTTTGAGATCCATGACATCGAAATTCGACTATGTTGTCTGTGCTATTGAGGAGTCAAATGATGTGGAAACCATGTCCATAGATGAATTATAAAGTAGCCTCCTGGTGCATGAGCAACGTATGAATTATCATACGGCTGCAGAAGAACATGCCTTGAAGGTGTCGTATGAAGATCATTCAGGAGGAAGAGGACGAGGTCGCAATGTTTTTAAAGGGCGAGGCAGAGGGCGTATCAGGCCAAGTTTTGATAAGTCCACCGTGGAGTGCTATAGCTGCCATGAACTGGGGCATTTCCAGTATGAATGCCCAAAGAGAGGATTCAGAGCAAACTTTGTTGACATAAATGAAGAGATGCTGTTGATGGCTTATATTGAAGAGAAGAAAATCAATTCAGCCGAAGTTTGGTTTTTGGATTCAGGGTGCAGCAACCATATGTATGGGAAGAAGGAGCTTTTTTCTGATCTTGATGAGAATTTCAAAGAGACAGTGAAACTTGGAAACAACTCAAGCATGACAGTTATGGGAAAAGGAAATGTAAGGATCAGGGTAAAAGAGAATACTCAGGTGATTACTGGTGTTTTTTATGTACCTGATTTAAAGAGTAACTTGTTGAGCATTGGTCAGCTTCAGGAAAAGGGACTTACAATTCTTATTCAGCATGGGAAATGCAAGGTCTATCATCCTGATCGAGGACTAATTATTGAGACCACAATATCATCAAATAGAATGTTCATTCTACTTGCACATTGTCAAGCAAGAGAGCAGACTTGTTACAGCACCATGACAGAAGACTCAGCTAGAGTTTGGCATCGCAAATATGGTCATTTAAGCTATGATGGATTGAAAACTCTTTAACATAAAAATATGGTGCATGGACTACCTCAGATCAAGCCTCCTACGAAGCTGTGTGAAGAATGCATGATTGGAAAGCAGCCTAGAGATCCTTTTCCAAAAAACAGTACATGAAGAGCAACCAGAGTTCTTCAACTAGTGCATGCAGACATATGTGGACCAATCAAGCCTATTTCTAACAGCAACAAGAGGTACTTTATCAGTTTCATTGATGATTTTAGTCAAAAAGTTTGGGTATATTTCCTGGCAGAGAAATCAGAAGCTTTTAATGTTTTTAAAAGCTTTAAAAATCTTGTTGAGAAGGAGTCGGGGGTTTGCTTGAGTGGATTAAGAACTGATCGTGGAGGTGAATTTACTTCCAATGAATTCACCAGTTTTTGTGCTGCACATGGTATACGAAGACAACTAACAGCAGCATACACACCACAACAAAACGGTGTGGCGGAGAGGAAAAATAGAACCATTATGAATATGGTTAGGAGCATGCTAACTGAGAAGAAATTTCCTAAGAATTTTTGGCCAGAGGCTGTTAACTGGTCAGTTCATGTGTTGAATCGAAGTCCAACATTGGCTGTGAGAAACATTACCCTAGAAGAAGCTTGGAGTCAAATCAAACCTTCAGTCTCCTACTTCAAATTTTTTGGTTGCACTGCATATGTTCATATTCCTGATAATAAAAGAACAAAGTTAGATGATAAAAGCTTAAAGTGTGTCTTTCTTGGAGTCAGTGGGGAATCAAAGGCTTACCGATTGTTTGATCCACTATCTAAAACAATTATAATCAGCGGGGATGTGAGGTTTAAAGAAGAAGGCAGCTGGGACTGGGACAACAGTTATGAAGAAGCCATTTTGGTTAATCTAGAGTGGAGTGACAGCAATACAGCTGCCACGAATACAGAAGAGCCAGCTGACATGAATCCAAAAGAAAGCAGGCTACATGCAGAAGAGAGTTATACCATCGGATCATATGCAAACGTTGAAATAACAATCATGCCACATGCAGATGAAGCAGCAACAATTCTAGATGTGATTATAGAAGGGAATGAGTCTGCTGCAACAGAGTCTACTACCATAATAGAAAATTCAATGAACTCAGAAAAGGGAAGAATAAGGAGACCACCGGGTTGGATGCAAGATTATATAAGTAGTGAGGGTTTATCTGAAGAAGATGACTATGCATTGCTAGCTTTGTATGCAGACAGTGATCCATTAAACTATGCTGAAGCAGTGAAAAGTGAGAAGTGGCAGAAAGTTATGGAGTGGTAGAAATAAATGCAATTGAGAGAAACAACACTTGGGAGCTCACTAGATTGCCTGAAGAAGGGAAAAAGGTGGGAGTTAAATGGATTTTCAAAACAAAATTCAAAGAAAACGGTGAAGTGGATAAACACAAGGCACGTCTTGTGGCTAAGGGGTACACGCAACAACATGGAATAGACTATGCTGAAGTCTTTGCACCGGTTGCTCGTTTGGATACCATTCGATTGGTCATCTCACTTGCAGCTCAAAAAGAATGGGTTATCTACCAACTGGACGTGAAATCGGCATTTTTGCATGGAGAGCTCAATGAAGAAGTCTATGTTAAGCAGCCTCCTAGTTATGAGAAGAAGGGAAGAGAGCAAATGGTCTACAAGCTAAATAAAGCACTGTATCGACTCAAACAAGCCCCTCGCGCTTGGTACAGTCGAATCGAATTATATTTTGCAACTCAAAACTTCAAGAAATGTCCTTATGAACATACATTGTTTATCAAAACTGGAGATGGAGGTAATATTTTGGTTGTATGTCTTTATGTTGATGATTTAATATTTACTAGGAATGATGCAAGTATGTTTGATGAGTTTAAGCAGACAATGTATATTCTACAAGAAGGGAGGATTTAAAGGTCTTAATGTATATTCTGATAGTGATTATGCTGGTGATGTTGAAGATCGGAAAAGCACTTCAGGCTATGTATTTATGTTCAGTACAGGAGCTGTATCATGGTCTTCAAAGAAACAACCCATAGTGACACTTTCCACCACAGAAGCTGAGTTCATAGCAGTAGCATCATGTGCTTGCCAGGCAATATGGCTGCGAAGAATTCTACAGCAGTTGGGGCACAATCAAGAGGGTTCTACAACAATCCACTGTGACAACAGTTCTGCTATTAAACTCTGTAAAAATCCGGTGCTGCATGGACGCAGTAAACATATTGATATTCGTTTTCATTTCATTCGAGAGCTCACTAGCATGGGTGTCGTGGAAGTAACTCATTGTCAAACTCAGAATCAGATTGCAGATATAATGACTAAACCATTGAAGCATGATGTCTTTGTGAAACTACATGGTCTAATGGGAGTTTGCTCTGTTTCTAGTATAAACTGATGCACTTGGCATACAGTTTAAGGGAGGATGTTAGATATTAAGATTTTAACTTTAGAATTTGGTTCACCAGTCTTTGTACTGGGTCGTTAATAATTCCTATTTAATAAGATCATTTAGCTTGAGTTTGTTTTAGTCAATCAACTACTTACCTGCTTCCCGCATTATAGGAGTAGTGGATACATGAGCTGTTGATATTCAATTTGTTTCTGTTATTGTTTGTAAGGCTATTTATAGCCAATTCTCTCTTTATGAATTAAGCAAAAATACTACAGTTGTTTCTTCAATTTTGTGAGATCAACA